ACTGAGCGAAACATTTTCATCTGGTACCTAATAGATAGGTGATCCCATAGAACATACTCCCTCTGTCCCAAAAATAAATGTCTCAACTTTAATACAAGTTTGCACTAAAGATAGTATAAAATTGAGAAATTTATTTTGGGACGGAGTATTCTGCAAATGGTTTTATTACCGTCCTTTCGGTTACAGCAATCCAACCACGCTACTTCCTTATTTTGTCAATAATAGCAAACATGCCTGTGTGTTGCACTGGGAGAAAAATGACTCCTCATATACACACTCGACGACATCAACAAATTCTTTGAAATCTTTTACGATGTTGCACGACAAACAACAAGATAAATGGTGTTGTGCAAAAATATAAAGGTGGAATGATTTTTAGTGTACTCAAGGTGTTTTCAATTTATTAGACAACCAAAATATCGACCTAGTCACCGCTATCTTTTTACGCCTTTGTTGTCGTTCCTCCATAGTGATTCCCAACAAATATTGCATTAGGATGAAAATAGAGAAGTACATTTTAGTATTCAACGATAACTTGTGCATACGAGCATTATTTTTTCTTGCTGATATATGTGTTTGCAACTGTAATCTAAGTCAAGATTTAATTTAGTTGCAAATATATTAATACTTTAGTGTTGCAAACATATTAGTAGTTTAGTGTACATCATCATATATGGGTTAGTTATTGTGCACTGTGTGAAATAGAGAGGATAATTATATACTTGTTGTAACCTTTAGCATATGGTAGCCCATTGGAATCAACATCCCGTATGGTGCTAATAATAGCTTTTGCGCCAATTTAAATGGTATAGGAAGATATATAATAGTCATTTTCAAAATACCACATATAAAGAAGGCACTAGTTAAGATTGAATCCTAAATCAAATTTTTAGAAATGATTACCATGCAAGAGGATAGCATATTTAAAATCCACATTTTTCTGAGAAATTTTCATATATAACATGTTAGATTTTGAGTTAGGATAAAAAATATATGAATATTTTAAAAAGTATTTGAATATGCCCGATAAAAAAATTAAGCAAAAAGTGCACTCACTTTTTTTTGAGGGTTTGGCCAAAATTTATTCATCAAAGTCCACAGATGGTGGGATACAAGTTGTGTCATGGGGCTGGCCCAGCCACACATGACGACCCGATGCAAGGTTAAGGGAAAACCTAGCTAAACTATGTGCCTCATAGTTGTTGGCACGACCTTCAAAAACAAATTTACAAGAAAAGGATAGAGCTCTAGCCCTGACTTCGCTGGTAATAGCTGCATAACTGCACAAAGTACCCTGGCTGATGTCCTGGATCACTTGCTTGGAGTCGCTGGCTATTACAAATTGAGTAACTTGGAGATCTTCAGCACAAAGAGCCTCACGGCATGCAATCATCTTCATTGTCGCCGGATCGTCCACTCCAGAAATCACAATAGCTGAACTACCCAGAAAGTTCCCTTCATTATCTCGGCACACCGCGGCTGCCGTTCCTCTTCTACCCTTCCCGATGCCAGCATCAACGTTGAACTTTACATGTTGAGGGGGTGGTGCTCTTGGTCGCCTCGCTGCACTTCTTGCTGGAGGTGGCTGAGCCGCTGCATGTTGGACTACCCGGCTTTCCCCTAGCAAAGATAGCTCTTCCAAGAATCTGTTAACGAACGAGACGATTGTTGGCGAACATTGTAGAAAATTAAAATTTTTTTTACGGTTTCACCAAGATCCATCTATGAGTTCATCTAGCAACGAGTCATGGGAGAGTGATTGCATCTACATACCACTTGTAGATCACGTGCGGAAGCGTTCAATGGAACGGGGTTGATGGAGTCGTACTCACCGTGATTCAGATCACCGATGACCTAGTGCCGAACGGACAGCACCTCGCGTTCAACACACGTACGGAGCGGATGACGTCTCCTCCTTCTTGATCCAGCAAGGGGGAAGGAGAGGTTGATGAAGATCCAGCAGCACGATGGCGTGGTGATGGATGCAGCAGAACTCCGGCAGGGCTTCGCTAAGCAACTACGGGAGGAGGAGGAGGTGTTGCAGGGAGGAGGGAGGCGCCAGGGCTTATTGGGTGCGGCCACCCCTCCCTCCCCTCCCTTTATATAGGCGCAAGAGAGGGGGGAGGGCGCAGCCTTGCCCCTTCCTCCAAGGAAGGGGTGCGGCCAAGAGGGGGGGAGGAGTCCATCCTCCCCAAGGCACCTCGGAGGTGCCTTCCCCTCTTTGGACTCTCCCCTCTCCAAGTCTCCTTGGCGCATGGGCCTCTTGGGGCTGGTGCCCTTGGCCCATATAGGCCAAGGCGCACCCCCTACAGCCCATGTGGCCCCCCGGGGCAGGTGGACCCCCCCGGTGGACCCCCGGACCCCTTTCGGCACTCCCAGTACAATACCGATAAAGTGCGAAACTTTTCCGGCGACCAAAATAGTACTTCCTATATATAAATCTTTACC